CTGTCCAGATATGGCTGACCTTTGAACGACCTGTCGCAGTGTTTGCATTTAACAGTAATGTGGCCTACAATACCTTGTTCGTCTATTGTCTGAGAGACAATGACTGTTTTGCTGTACAGCGGTTTTCTGTTTTCTTGAAAGTTATCTAGAAGTCATTTCGAGTGAGGGAAAGTAAAGCTTCCATCTTGAATTTCTCTCGGGAAAAGTCAGCTTTCTGCACAAATCAAACTATAAAATGGCAGATGAATACGAATTCATTGTATATGTAACGGTGTATATTGGATAAGTTATGAACTGCGAGCAGGTAGACTCAGGCCATGTTTCTTTTAACAGTCTTCCTTCGATTTAACAACGAAGTAGGTGTGATAGGTGTAGTTTGGTGTAGTAAGTGTAGTTGGTGAATGCTGGTGTAGTAGGTGTAGTTTGGTGTAGTAAGTGTAGTTGGTGAATGCTGGTGTAGTAGGTGTAGTTTGGTGTGGTTTCGTGTAGTAGATGTAATTAGGCGTTGTGTGGTGTAGTAAGTGAAGTTTGATGTGGTAGGTACAGCTCGGTGTAGTTTGGTGTAATAGTTGTAGTAGGTCTACTTTGGTATAGTGTCGCGAAGTTTGGTGTAATTCGGTGTAGTTTGGTATAGAAAGTGTTGTGCGGTGTAATAGGTTTTTTTCGGGTGTAGTAGGTGTTTTTCGGTGTTGTGTTGTAAGTATAGTTTTTTACATTTGGTTTAGTAAGTGTCGCGAAACTCTCCTTAGTTGCGCCAAATTCTCCTCAGTTTCCGCCAAACTCTTCTTAAGTGGCAAAGAACACTGTCGCAAAACCCTCCATAATTGTCGCCAAACTCTGCTCAGCTGTTACCAAACCCTCCTTAATTGTCGCCAAACCCTCCTTAGTTGACGCAATTAGTTGTCGCAAAACTCTCCTTAGTTGTCGCCAAACATTTTTTATTTGTCACAAAACACTTCTTAGTTGTCGCAAAACATTTTTTATTTGTCACAAAACACTTCTTAGTTGTCGCAAAACATTTTTTATTTGTCACAAAACACTTCCTAGTTGTCGCTAAACTCTCCTCAGTTGTCGCAAAACATTTCTCAGTCGTCGCAAAACATTTCTTAGTTTTTGCCAAACTCATTACACTCCCCCTTTTCCCTCCCATCCCCCAAGAAAATAAATGCATATCATTTCGATAAGTCATTCGACTGCTCTCTCAGTAAGCCGACAACATAAGCTATCGAGATATTCGCATGAACATCGCCTAAATTAATTGTAATGTACCTGAACACGACTGTCCATCGCCAGTGTATCCCTCCTTGCAGGTACAGTAATGGGAACCCAAAGTGTTTGTACAGTATGCATTGACGTCGCAGGCATTGTTTCCATCGAGACATTCATCATGATCTAGTTGGTGATTGAAAGAGAAAGGAGTAAAAGTTTCAAAAACATCAATTTAGCAGAGAAATAGTTTTGCATTGTACTATATTGACAATCACAGCTGCACAACATGCAGAAAAAGAGTGAATTGTCTCTGAACAAATTAGACTATTGCTTTGTAACTAAAATGTTGAAATAAGAATGTTGGTCAAAGTTTTATCAAAGTGTATTTTAGTTTAAGCGTATCCCTTTGTGTGTATTTATGCCCTATTTGGCTTTTTTATAAACAAAAATTGAATATATAAAGCCGAAAATTTTTTTTAAGTCTTGAATAAACAAGGACGCTATCGAAAGAATCTATGATTCAAACAGAAAGTGAAACTAACGGTGACGTAATGATGATTTACCTTCCAAATTCATATCACAGTAAACCAAAACTGCCTTCCCTGTGCCAGATGGATCCAGCCAGTATTTGTTGCTTACAGTGTCTTTCCCTTCGCTTGCTTTTATTTCTCGGCATGAACGTGCTGGTAACTCCGGAATCGAACCCAAGGGAGCTGGTAAGGGTAAAAATGTTGAAAATTAAATATATTTAGGTGCACAAGTCGAAAGCCGAGACTGAAAAACACGAGAGAATTAGAATGAGGATCTAATCCCATTCACTTAAATTTCCGCCTTTGAATGTGATAAATTAAACGTACTGTCAAGCACCCCTCTCTTGGGAAGTAGGCCCCCCTCACTTTGTTTGGTGCTATCTACCACTGTTCAGAGTTTCAAAACAGATGTTTCGACCGCTAGCCCTTCGTCAGAGGGAATGGAGGAATTGTGGGTTGTGTGTCTATCGGCACTAATTGGAGCTACGCTTTTGGTGGGAAACTACAAAGCAACTATAAAGAAAAAGGATATAACTAATATCGTTAATCAGATGAGCGTGGGAGATCAGAAAACGCGGACTATAAGCAAAGTCGAACGTATGACCAAAATATTGATAATTATTATCAATTATAATTATTAAGTTGGCCACTGTTCAGAGTTTCAAAACAGATGTTTCGACCGTTAGCCCTTCGTCAGAGGGAATAAAGGAATTGTGGGTTGTGTATCTATCGGCAGAACTTGGAGCTACGCTTTGGGTGGGAAACTACAAAGCAACTACAAAGAAAAGGGATAGAACTAATATCGTTCATCATTAGAATTGAGAAATGATAGAAAAATCAATACCGATTAGCGTGGGAGATCAGAAATCAAGGACTGTAAGCAAAGTCGAGCGTATGACCAAAATATACATATGTTATTTGCCGGCTGGGAGGTTCGTATGGTGAAAAACTGTGACCGAGGTCTTGAAAATACTGCCCGAGGCAGTATTGAGTGGGTAAATGGTAGTTAAAATAGAGGTGATGCAAATTTAAGAGAGATGCCTCAGCGAAACATTTTCATTTCCGAAACGATAAAGGTGATTTAAAAGGCTTCCAAACAAACTTTGAAACATTATTTTTACAAGTATCTGTCACAATCCGACACCTGTCAATTAGAGAGCGCGCAAGAAAAAAAAAAGCATAGGAACATTTGAAAACCAACAGAACTAGTTTGGCAAGGACTGTCACAATGTTTTCTTCAAAATCAGTTAATGATCTAACGGAAAGTATTATTCACTCTCATCGACCATTCATTCATGTACGAAGATTTACCTCTGTTCATTAAGTAAACGGCGAGGAAAGTAATTGTGAGTAAATTCAATTTTTTTATTTTGAAGTTGTGAGAGTTTGCTAGTTTGTTTGCTGTAATGGCGTGTTTAACTCTGATCTTTCCTTCACAGAAACTAAATTCGAACGGCACACTCCAACGAGACACAAGGGAATGTAATGCGGCCTTTTCTCAAAAAATTCCTTCAATTTCTGTTGTGCAATTTAAGGTACAAATGTCCAAATTGAACGGAATTGGAAAGACTCACCAGGAGCGTATATTTGTTGTAGAACTTAAATTAAAACTTCGCTCGCTCTTTCACCATGAACAAAATGCTCGAGAAAATTCAGATATTAAATGAATGAAAGTTCCATCGTTCAGTTTAACTGTAACCAAATACCTCACGTTTCAACTTTCTGGGTTCCTTTTTGTGAACGATTAAAATTAATTGCAGACGGTTTTTAGGCCGCTTGTCAACCAACGTAATGACACTATTGTTTATACATATTCATTCTGAAACCAATATTTTTCTGTCAACCAAAGTGATTTGATAGAGAGAAAAGAGAGGATTCATAAGTTATTTATCGGCTTGAGGTAGTGACCGACGTGTTTGCTTAAAAATACTGCCCAGCCGGAAAACGAGGTATATTTATGAAAAATGACAACGAAAGTTGGGATGTACTCGGCGACTCACGAAAGCGTTACCGTGGCCCGTGGGCAGAGATAGGAAAATACTGACCGGGTAAAGAACCAATCAGATTGCAAGATTCGTTACCGTGCCCTCTAAAAAAACAATAATGATAATTATTATCAACATTATTGGCTGAATAGTTACCTCTTCCGTTCAAACGACGAATATAAAACCACGCTGGATCCGAGCGGAAATTCTCGGGTCTTGCGTCCTTTGTGCGGTTGTTTAATTCACAGATCTGTTCCTTTCTGTTGAAATTATAGCTCTGGCAGGAAATTTCCCTTTCACATAAGAAATCACAGTTATGAGGAGCTGTTACCGTCATTCTCTTGAAAACAAAACCTTTGAGAGCCATGCCACGAATGTTAATTTCTATCCTGCATTGATCCTCAGCGGTTACAAGGTTGGTGAACGAAACACAGGCAAGAAAATAACGAAATATCCACAGCATTTTTCCTGAAAAACGAAATTCATAGACATCAGTGAGTAAACTTTTTTTCTCAAGGCTGACTAAGAACACTGGATAATTAGAACAACAGGACCTCCAACCACCCCGCTCTTCTGTTATTCTCTTTTTTAAAGACTTATCGCAAGATATAAACATTTAGCCTTCAAAATATACTATTGAGAAAATGACTGGAGGAGAAAATTCTTCCATTTACGGGTGGTCCTGGAAATGGGGTGCAGGGAAAATGAGAGCTGAAAGTAATGTAATAGGACTTGAAAGTTTTGGGGAAATTATGAGCTTTTCAAGGTCTGGACAATTTTGAATGAATGAGCGGACGAGAAATTGATCGAGTGGAGATACCGCCGACAATTCATTTTTCCCGGCGCAGAGGCGGTCATTCGTCTAATTTGTTTCGGCTTCGGTGTAATATCTTCATGACTACACACTCGTACTGGATCGTACACTATAAAGGCTGAAAGTATATTTTTGAACCTAAAATATCCTAAGGAACTCAATGACTCGATCATTGCCATCAGTCTCTGTTACGATTACATGAGACTGAGTAAAATTTGTTTAACAAATTTTTCTGTTGAAATCACCTGTTTTGGCTGAATGAAGTGAAATTGTTCTGGATCGGTAATAACTTATTCCTTTCATCTGCCCACTCATTCAAGTACAGGAATCTCTCGATTTGCGTTTAATGAAAAACGGAACCAGCCTTTACATCAACTTTGAAGCCGAACTGTACCAAACAGCCAAACAGCGCGAAAATTAAGGTGCTCATTTTTTTCAAGGTCTGCCAGTTGTCATTTTATCCATCGTGTACCATCAAAAAGTCAAAAATTAAACGTGGTTCACGGACATCATTGTAGAGACAATGACTGTTTATTCAAAGTAAACCTTCCCTTTTGGCTCAGCCCAGAAACCATGTTCCCTAAAATTTTACATATTTGAATTTTGTCATTTTCAAAAAATTGTTGCAAAACAAAATAAAAACCTCCTTTGAAATACGTGGTTGTCTCATGCCACTCCAGGTATGTAGATGAAGGAAATAATTATTGTATAAAGTACTAATTTGAATATTTCAAGGCTTAGTTATGTAGATAAAGATAATAAAAAAGTTATATGATGATAAGGAAACTTTGAAATAGTTCTTAGACGACATTTACAAATAATACCCCATTCACAACATCAGCCGGGTTGAATTAAAACAGAGATGTGAATAACTGAATTTTCCATAGGTTTCAAGAAAAAACTAGTTTATATTTTCATTCTGCTAAATTTGAAGTCGAAAATATTGGTTTTAGGAGCTGCTAAGAAGACAACTTTCAACCATATTTAAGTAAACAGCCTTAAAACATGTTTAAGCATGAGTGTGCATTGGGTATAGGAAAATCTTACCTTGTTCTTCTGGTCTTAGGGAAGCCTAAACGGTGAGAACGAAGCAGTAGAAAACAGACAGCATGTCCTCAGAAAGAAACGTGCGTTATAATTCCAGCGAACAGCTTGAGTGAGTTTTCCTCCTTAAGATAAACATTTAGCGAAATGAGACAGCTGCAGTTTTATTTTGGTTCAAATACATCACTTCCTATGTCTGATTATCAGGTTCACAACTGAATTATTTTCCCTGTGAACCAGTTGATTGGTGGAACTCAGTTATACTTAATGCATGTCAATGGCCTGTAATTTGAATAAAAATAGAGGAAGAAGTCCTTCATGTGTTGTTTTATTCGAGCTTAATTATATCTGTATGAGTGCGACGCATGAAGAAGTTAATAATACTCTTTACTAAGGTGGCCCCTAACTGTCACGGCAAAAGAAATAACCTCGGGGCAAAAGAATGGCTGATTTCGAACTTTCATATTTTTTTCCAAAATAAAAACTCATTGGAACTTTTGAATATTATTTTTGAAAACGATTCACCAAAAGGGTCTTTTTGAGAAAATAAAAAAAAAAAGTTGAATTTTTGCTTCTGTCGCCGGATTCTCGAAAATTACTGACAACCTCTCTTGAAAGTTTTGGGAAATTATGAGCTTTTCAATGTCTGGACAATTTTGAATGAATAAGCGGACAAGAAATTGATCGAGTGGAGATACCGCCGACAATTCATTTTTCCCGGTACAGAGGCGGTCATTCGTCTAATTTGTTTCGGCTTCGGTGTAATATCTTCATGACTACACACTCGTACTGGATCGTACACTATAAAGGCTGAAAGTATACTTTTGAACCTAAAATATCCTAAGGAACTCAATGACTCGATCATTGCCATCAGTCTCTGTTACGATTACATGAGACTGAGTAAAATTTGTTTAACAAATTTTTCTGTTGAAATCACCTGTTTTGGCTGAGTGAAGTGAAATTGTTCTGGATCGGTAATAACTTATTCCTTTCATCTGCCCACTCATTCAAGTACAGGAATCTCTCGATTTGCGTTTAATGAAAAACGGAACCAGCCTTTACATCAACTTTGAAGCCGAACTGTACCAAACAGCCAAACAGCGCGAAAATTAAGGTGCTCATTTTTTTCAAGGTCTGCCAGTAGTCATTTTATCCATCGTGTACCATCAAAAAGTCAAAAATTAAACGTGGTTCACGGACATCATTGTAGAGACAATGACTGTTTATTCAAAGTAAACCTTCCCTTTTGGCTCAGCCCAGAAACCATGTTCCCTAAAATTTTACATATTTGAATTTTGTCATTTTCAAAAAAATATTGCAAAACAAACTAAAAAACCTCCTTTGAAATACTGTTGTCTCATGCCACTCCAGGTATGTAGATGAAGGAAATAATTATTGTATTAAGTACTTATTTGAATATTTCAAGGCTTAGTTATGTAGATAAAGATAATAAAAAAGTTATATGATGATAAGGAAACTTTGAAATAGTTCTTAGACTAAACTTTAGCTAAATTTGAAGTCGAAAAAAATTGGTTTTAGGAGCTTCTAAGAAGACAACTTTCAACCATATTTAAGTAAACAGCCTTAAAACATGTTTAAGCATGAGTGTGCATTGGGTATAGGAAAATCTTACCTTGTTCTTCTGGTCTTAGGGAAGCCTAAACGGTGAGAACGAAGCAGTAGAAAACAGACAGCATGTCCTCAGAAAGAAACGTGCGTTATAATTCCAGCGAACAGCTTGAGTGAGTTTTCCTCCTTAAGATAAACATCTAGCGAAATGGGACAGCTGCAGTTTTATTTTGGTTCAAATACATCACCTCCCATGTCTGATTATGTGGTTAAGAACTGAATTATTTTCCCTGTGAACCAGTTGATTGGTGAAACTCAATTATACTTAATGCATGTCAATGGCCTGTAATTTGAATAAAAATAGAGGAAGATGTCCTTCATGTGTTGTTTTATTCGAGCTTAATTATATCTGTATGAGCGCGACGTACGAGGAAGTTAATAATACTCTTTACTAAGGTGGCCCCTAACTGTCACGGCAAAAGAAATAACCTCGGGGCAAAAGAAAGAGACTCACGGCGAGAGAAATGGCGGGAAGTGATGATTAGCTGCTGACCCCTTTACTGCATTTTCTTATCCCATGGTGCACCTCGACAGCTCGTCCCGGCCCCCACGCCCTCCCTTTTATGCCGTGAGGACATTGTTATTTCTTTTGCCGCGACGTTATTTCTTTTGCCGTGACAGTTGTGGGCTACCGCACTTTACCCACTGTTTACGCGCAGTCCTTGTCCGCCCACTCTTGAGCGTAAAATAAAGACGACCGTTTTACCACAACAAGTTGATGTTCCGAAATTTTGGGGTTGGCGGCTAAAGGATAATTTGTTTTTTATCCTTATATTTATTTCTTATTATTTGACTGTGAGGTGAAGCTAATTTTTCATGTTATCAAGTCTCATTCGTACAAGTTCGTACATGTTTGACTTACGCCCTCCATCCCCCCTCCCGGTGGATTGTGGTCCCAAAAGCTTGGACAAACTGCTGTGACTAACAAGGAAACGAGATTACTGATCCAAGAAAAGCGGTCCCCCTGCCTTACGGTCCACAGTACAAATCTGTCACTTTTATGAAGATCTTTACCAATATTATTGATGGTTAAATTACACCACCTTAGTCAGATTGATTTTCAACGAAACATTTGCCGCACCTAAACTTCTGCATTATAAAAGGTTAATTTCTTTCTTGCAATTCAGTTACGTAGTGAATCATATTTTGATGAATTACTCTAAAATTTAGTTCTTTTTTCCCTTTTGTCATTTAAGAGACAAAAATCATTCGAGTGTTGAATTATTTTTCATAGATTCAGGATGCCCTAAAATATGTTTGCCATGCATAGCGATGGTGACATGTCAATTTTTTCATAGTTTTATTTCTTGGGTTTTATCGATTTTCTTGCAAGTTTTTATAACAAAAGTACCAAGTTTATGTTGACTTTTCTTGATGCAGTGTAAATGGATTCATTATCATTGTGCAGACTAATGAAAGAGAGAGAAGAAGTAATGAGATAAAAGCTTCCAAGGAAAGAAAAACATTGTTAATGATCTGGTCAAATAAACTGTTCTTGATTGTCACAATTCTTTTTACTTCCTTTTTGTTTTCATTTTGTGCAAGTGAATAATAAGCCGTATTTACAAGGATGAGTTTTTATATAGCAACTCACAACCAATTTAGCGAATTTGACTTTGTACTTAATAGTACCTTCGTTGTATTCCGCTGAAGTTAAGTTCAGTAAAGGAGACACTTGTAATGAGTGACTAATGTCTTATGAAAAGTGTGTGTGAATTATTTAGTTAATATCTTCCGATTGCTCAATCAGAAGTCTAATCAGAAACTGCGTTGGAAGGCCTCTAACAATTTACAACGCTTTTTATAGCCGTCGTCAGGAATCTCCTGCTATGCAAGGCTGTCATAGAAAATAATTTGTTGTTGACTGTTTTCCATCACCTAAATATCCATGCATCATACAATTTTCGATTACCCTGCAAAGACCTTCAGTCAAGGCTGGTTTTCGTGTGCTGCGAAAAAAAACATCAAGGACGAATAAAAGCTATGAGTAAAGTTGGGGATCCACGAACTTTCCTGTAAGATACTTAGATACTTTTTTCATTCTTTCACAAATTTACCTTGCTCTCTGTTGATGTGACTTTATAATTTAGGTTTAACTAACAAACATGAAAATAGTGACAGCCAGATATCAATTTATTGAGTTTCAGTAGAGGTTACTAAATCTACACTATAGACCGACAATATAGGGAAAGTGATTGCTCTTTACTGTAACTCATAGAGACAATTCTTGGGAACTGTTAGTCAATCCACCAGCAAAGGATGTTCTCAATATATTTCTAACTATTATTAGGCAGAATCATTCTTTCCAACTACGTGAAAATTACAGCGCTTTACTCCACTTTGAGTGACGAAGAGCACGAGAGCCTCCTGAAAAGACTTTCCAGATGTTAGCAGAAAAACAAAAATATAACAAGTAAATAAGGTTTTGCGTCAACTTGAATGTGCCATCGCCAACAGTCAGTTTCATGCGCAGTAACATTTAGAAGGTGAACGAGCAAAAAAATTAAAGAAGCCGGGTCACACTGACTGTCTCATTATTGAAAATCGATTTTGGTTTTGAGCTGATCCAGAAAAAAAGATTGACTGCATTCCTTTACATTGTTAAATATGTATTAATTGACATTAAATGCACAAGAATATGAACGCTGACTTCACAACTGTTTCTCTACAAAATTATTACCCATATGTTATTATTTGACCAATCATCACTAACTTCCCCCATGCTCGCTATTTAAAGTCTAAACAGTCCTGGCATTTGTATCTTCTTTATTCTATAGGCGAAAGTAATTTGTGGCTAACATTGTCCTCACCCTGGTGATTACAAACTATTATCTTGCCTCACCCTAATATTGTATGCTTTTAACGCTTAAGAATTTGAGTGAATAAAGAGGTGGGATAACTTGTTGTTCACTGTTTTCTATCACCTAAATATTCATGCATCATACAACTGAGAACGTACGAGCCAAACTTAATTCTCCCCATCCCTTCCCCCTGTCCCTTCCCCCCTTCCCCCTCCCCCTACTCCATCCCTCCCCCCGCGGGAGAAGGTGAGGTCAGTAAAAATTCACAAACTCACCCATTCTAGTAAATGTTGTTTGTGAATTTTAATTCAAACCTCAAATATAAACGCCTCTAGTACCACAAGTTGCGCTGTTTGTCTTACAGTAACACGGCTTAATAACAAAATCTAAATAATGACCCAAAAATGTTAAACTATGGAGTTCAAAAACAAACATAAATTAGCGCTTCAAAACAGAATTACCACTACACGCTAAGGAAAGTGCTGCCATACATTTCAGTGGAGAAATGTTATGATCACTTTACCATGTCCAGCAGTATTATAACAACATTCATTTTGCTGATTTGTTCCGTTGTTGAAAGAACCTCCCCCTCCCCCACAGGAAGTATCTTTATTTGCACCTCCACCTCCCCCGGATACCCCCCACCTCCCCCAGGTATTTTATTAGCTAAACGATAACCACCCCCACCTCCGAACCCCCCCCAATATGCTCCCCCCTCTCCCCCGTTCAGAAACCCTTTACCTCCCTTTCCCCCTCCATAAGAAGTCTTTGAGTTTTCTCCATTACTGTAAAAGCCGCCGCCACCACCGCCTACAATCAAGAGATTTACAGTCGACATTAGCAACTTAACAGATCATGGCTTTTAGTAATTCTGAAAAAAAATCCAAATTGGAGCGACCAGTACCACCTCTTTGTTCGAAATACTGATGGATGCAAAGAAAAAAATAGGAAATTCTTCACCTACCAGAGTGCGGTTTATCAGTTTGTCCTCCATTTCCGTTACTTCCTCCTGACAGGAATGGCGAGTTATACCCTGCATTTCCTGTTGTGTTTATGGACGCATCACATCCTGAATGTTGTTCTGTCATTTTTGCATTTCCTCCTCCCCCTCCGGCTATGATCAAAGGTTTGTTGTCTCCTCTTACTACAAATGTACCTCCTCCGCCTGAGGCAGCATTTTTGTAAGAATTCGATCTTTCCCCTCTTTGACCAACAAGTATACGAATGATCTCATCTTTGGTCAACATAAAGTTTCCAATCATCCGCGCTCCTCTTCCTCCGTTGATGACACTGTTCTCACCGTATCCCCCTGAGGCTCCTATTGTTTCTATTCTGTATTTACCAGTGTGTGGCACAGTCCACAGTTGAATACCGCCGGACACTGTAACTTGTCCGTCATGATCCTGACCTGTGTAGTGACCGCTAACTGAGTCTGGACCCTTTGTTCCATTCTTACCAAGAGTTGTAAAAACAGCTGTAAATCCTTCGTAAAACACATGCAGTAAAAATAAAAGTTATGATACTGGTGAGAAATTGTTACAATTACTTTTGGCTTCGCTTAAAAGAACACGTGTTTTAGTGGTTCAGGCTGATTTTGTTCTTATAAATCGGGTGTGTTCTGCAAAACCAGCCTGAAAATGTTCTTAAGGTGTTCTTAAAATTGTTCCTAAATATTAAATACCTCATAGACTACTAACAGATGAAATCAATGTGCAAGCAGAACATTTTAATCAATTCATGGATGGAACTAACCTTAACCACATTAATGAAGGCAATAGTATTACGTTGGGGGAGAGGGGGGGGGGTAGTAGTCCTGGTGATAAACAACTGAAAACTCAGCAAAAGTCAAGCAAATTCATAATGCACCAGCCCCCCCCTCCCTCTTTCCAAGGTTCCCAATCCTACAAGCAAACTGAGAAGGCAAAATGTCAGCATTCAGTTCCTTAGCAAAGGTGGGGCTTCACAATCGTTAAATACAAGGACCTTCTTACTGCTACTTTAATTAACAAGGGACATAATCTCTTCAGCAGACCTAAAAGTTTGTTTTCTTTTGCTGTCAGTCCCAGGTAAGTTTGTCCGAGATAACTACACCCAGATCCTTCTCCTCACGCACGTGGTGTACTTTTTCAGGGCCTAAAAAAGAGTCTTGAAGTAAAGGCTTTTTCTTGCGCGTTATAGTTAGAACTTTGCATTTAGAGGCATTAAATCGTATGTTATTGTCGTGACTCCAGGAATGGAGGTTTGTCAGAGTTTGTTGTTGTCGTTCACAATCTGCTATAGACGAGATGGAACTGAAGGAACTGAAGGTAGAACACCTGGCAGATCATTAATGAAAACAACAAATAGAACTGAGCCAAGTAGGCTGCCCTGAGGAACTCCCGATGTAACTGGGGCCCACTGCGAGGCCACACCATCCAAAATGACCCTTTGAGATCTTCAACTTAAGTAATCTGTAAACCAGGCAAGCGTGTCGCCTTCCACATCATATCGTTTGAGCTTTTGAAGCAAAACTGAGTAACCGACAGAATCAAAAGCTTTGGCAAAGTCCAGGTAGACAACATCTGTTTGAATATTTTTGTCCAGGTTATGACCAGTGGTATTAAGAACAGATAACGGCTGTGTGACGCAGGAGCGATCTCGCAAAAAGCCAGCGCTGGAGAGGAATGATGTATTGCTTAACATGATCGTAACGTTTAAGACAGACACAGCGTTCCAGGACTTTGCTTTGTATACATAATAAGAAAATAGACCTATAATTTTCACCCGGTTCCATAGAGTCCTTTTTACGTACAGGTGTGACATTAGCTTATTACCATTCAGACGGTATGCGAGCAGTTCGTAAGGAGAGATTGAAAAGTGAACAAAGACTAGGTGCAATTTGATTGCCCCTTTTTTTAAGGCGTGGAGGAGTGTTATCAGAGCCGCACGCTTTAGAGGTAACCAAAGTGGCTAAACAATTCGCAACTTCGTTACTTGCATAACTGATCTATGCTGGTGCAATGAAAGAGCGGAAATATCGTAGTTTACAACGGGACTCGGAGGAGTAAAGACGGATGAAAAATAAGAATTAGAAAGATCCACTTTTCCAGCTGGGGTCGTAGCCTCTATGCCGTTATAGGTTATCACTGAATTTGGTTTGGCTCGGTGGTTTTTTTTTTTCTTTGGATTCTCAGAAAATGCGTCTTCAATTTTTTCCAAATAAAGGCGATGTTTTCTTTTAACCAGGTACTTAACATGTAGACTCAAGGAGCGCAGTTTCAGTTTGTTATCGTCAGACTTATTTAGGCGATATTTCCTCAGAGCCCCATATTTCTTAGGAATGTGATGGCGAAGATCACTGTCTATCCAGGAAGGCGAGTTAGTATCTTTTAAAGACTTAGTAGGTATACATTGGTCTACAGCTAACAAAAACAAATCCTTCCATAAAGCCCAGCTCTCGTCAATGTCTCCAAAAACTGCAATTTCCAAAGGGGTATGTGACAGGAGACTGCAAAGATCTTGAAAATTCCCGCGTTTGAAATCATAGGTGTAGCGCGAACAGGCTTAGACAGCTTAAATTTTAAAAGGACTGTAAATTCTGAAATGTGATGATCCGCTGGAAACCCACACTTCTCCGGTGTTGAAGTGAGAACGTCTGTGATAATTTCTGGACAATTACACAAAAAAAGATCTAACTTGCTTCCAGATATATATGTGCGTTGGACCAGTTACGAACTGCTTGAGGTAATTATCACCAACCAGCTCACAAAATATATCATCCATTGCATGACTCCCAGTACCCAAAGAGACCGGTAAATCGGTGGACCAGTCGATAGAGAGTAAATTAACATCTCCTACCAAAACAATGCGACTTGACTCAGCATTGCCCTGAAGGGTTCAAATGATGAAGAATCTCAGGTGAAGAACTAGGCGGGCAATAAAAAGTGTACAAGATAACGGGGAAACAGTTCAGCGTTTTAACTTCAACAACTATCAGTTCAGTGTTTTCTTTCTCAAGATCAAAACGGCAAAAGGCCTATAGATCAGTTCCAACAGCGAACAATACACCGCCGCCGACGCTTCCTTCTCTACCTCTTCGATAGATAGAGTAGCCATAAAGCAGCTCACAATCCATGACAGAGTTATTGAGCCAGGTCTCACAAACACAAACAACATCATTATCCCCTCTGTAAACTAGCTGATGTAGTAGGGTAATCTTGCAAACCTTTGAAACGGCTGAGTCATCACCGAGAGACACATCCAGGTTAGATGGCACATCCATGAAAATCGTTATGTCAATGTCAGAATGAAGATCCGGAGCAGACAAATAAGAGTACCCACGTTTAATCCAAACGGACTGAGGAAAGCGAATCGTGGGCGTAATCCGCCCTCTTCCATCCTTTGCCGAAAGTCTATCCTGCCATTTGTCGAGATTGTTCTCCTCTTTCAGCCATGTTTCCATTGCTGCACCAATTTTATCTCTCATAATCCGACCACATCCTGCATCAATGGGCCGGATTTTGTCAATGTGGTTTTCAGGCAGCACGTAAACTGTAGTGTCGATCTAACTTCAGCATGTTTCATGGAATTATTGACCTTGTTGGAAGCCGACATTGTCTGCAAATACAACTTTTTCTTCTTTGTCATTCCCAATTCCTGGAATAAGTGTGCCCACCGCATGTTGATTTCTTCATCCATCTAGGCATTTCTGGAAATATACATCAACCCCCTTGTGATACTTTTCTTTCTTCTCAGTGGCCACATGCCCTTTTCCTCTGAAGATAAGAGCTGGCTTCACATTTTGTTCCCCATCAGCCCCAATACAAAGTTGTAGAGTAGCCTGTCGTTTATGTAAACCAGATGATGGTTGTGACACGCACACTTGCTTAGCACCCAATGTGTCGTAGGTTTTATCTTGCTCGTTTACAAATGGGACAGGAACCTACCTAGTCGATATTGTATCTATTTTTAGGTATCCATCTTCCATACTTTGGGTCAACTGTATAGGACTTGTTTCTTATCCTTTGTGTTTTCAAGGCTTTCCTCAAATCCCTGTGGAATTTCCGGATCGTATCGCAGCCATCATCTGCCCAAAGTTTTTACTTGTTGGTCATTCTCCTCTGTGTTCTTCTTTGTCTTGTTAAGAGTCAGTTTTGCAGGAAGTTTGCTTCTGTTTTTTTTCCACTTAAACACCAGTGATCTGTTGACTCCTTGTTGCTTTGCAACTGTGTTGTACTTATTTGTTGATGATTTCAGGGAATCCAAAAAATCTAGTGTTCTCTCTATGAAATCGACAGTGTAGGACTTACGTTTGTTACTTCCCCTTCGATTGTTGCTTCGCCTTTGAGTTTGACCTTGCTCACCACCGGCCGATTCACGTGGCACATCTTCAAGCTGATGACTCTTAGCCAATCTCTGCATGTTTGTTTCACCTGAGTGGTTGCTGATGTTTACAAAAATAGTCAATGTATTTCTAGGTGCTGAGCTGATGCTGTCCGAGTTCTGTGCGGCAGAGGCCAGGTGCCTTAATTGTACATGGCTGTCCAGATATTGTTGAACTTTGAACGATCTGTCGCAGTGTTTGCATTTAACTGTGGCACAGCTCAGTTGAACTGTCTTTTCCAATGTTGACGTAATGTCGTACAGTCTGCCATCCTTTAACTCTACTGATTTTCGTAAACCACAATCGAATAAAATACGATTCATATTCCACAATTTATCAAAATTGAGGAACATAAAAGTCAATGCAGTAATGTATCCCATAACACCTCATGCGTTTATTGTACTAGAGACAATAACTGCTTTGCTGTACAGCGGTTTTCTTGCAAATTACCTGAAAGGCATTTCGAGTGAAGGAAAGTAAAGCTTCCATCTTGAATATCTCTTGAGGAAAGTTAGTTTTCTGCACAAATGAACTATAAAATGGCAGATGAATACAAATGTTATGTTCAGGCAAGAGTGCGTGGGTACCATGCCTATCTTGTAGATGCAACGGTTTATATTGAGGAAGTTATGGACTGCAAGCAGGTAGGCTATGTTTCTATTAACAGTCTTTCTTCGATTGATTTGGAACCTGCCTTTAGTTGTCACGAAACCCTCCTTAATTATCGCCAGACACTGCTAAGTTGTCGCACCACTCATCTTACTTGTCGTCAGACTCTCACTATTTGCCAGGAAACCCTCCTTAAAACTCTGCTCAGTTGTCGTTAAACCTTTCTTAGCTTTCGCCAAACCCTCCGTACCTGTCGTCAAACTCCTCTTATTCGTCGTCAAACCTTCCTTAGTTGTCACAATTAGTTGTCTCAAAACATTCCTTTATTGTCGCAAACACTTCTTACCTGAAGCCAAACTCTCCTTAGTCTCCACAATCAGTTGTCACAAACACTCCTTAGTAGTGGCAAACCAACCCCTTAGTTGTCGCAAAACCCTCCTTAATTGTCGCCAAACTCTTTTTAGTTGTCACAAAACATTTCTTAGTTATCGCAAAACACTTCTTAGTTGTCGCAAAACACCTCTAAGTTCTCGCAAAACACTTCTTAGTTCTCGCAAAACACTTCTAAGTAGTCACAAAACAATTCTTAGTTGTCACAAAACACTTCTTAGTTGTCGCAAAACACTTCTTAGTTGTCACAAAACCATTCTTAGTTGTCACAAAACACTTCTTAGTTGTCACAAAACACTTCTTAGTTGTCACAAAACACTTCTAAGTTGTCGCAAAACACTTCTTAGTTGTCACAAAACACTTCTTAGTTGTCACAAAACACTTCTTAGTTGTCGCAAAACACTTCTTAGCTGTCGCAAAACACTTAGTTGTCGCAAAACACTTCTTAGTTGTCACAAAACACTTCTTAGTTGTCACAAAACGCTTCTAAGTTGTCACAAAACACTTCTTACTTGTCGCAAAAAAGTTCTTAGTTGTCGTAAAACACTTCTTAGTTTTCACAAAACACTTCTTAGTTGTCACAAAACACTTCTAAGTTGTTGCAAAACACTTCTTACTTGTCGCAAAACATTTCTTAGTTGTTGCAAAACACTTCTTACTTGTCGCAAAACACTTGTTAGTTGTCACAAAACACTTCTTAGTTGTCACAAAACACTTCTAAGTTGTTGCAAAACACTTCTTACTTGTCGCAAAACATTTCTTAGTTGTTGCAAAACACTTCTTACTTGTCGCAAAACATTTCTTAGTTGTCACAAACACTTCTTACTTGTCGCAAAACATTTCTTAGTTGTCGCAAAACACTTCTTACTTGTCGCAAAACACTTGTTAGTTGTCACAAAACACTTCTTGGTTGTCACAAAACACTTCTAAGTTCTCCTAAAACACTTCTTATCTGTCGCAAAACACTTCTTAGTTGTCACAAAACACTTCTTAGTTGTCGCAAAGCACTTCTTAGATGTCGCAAAACACTTCTTAGTTGTTGCAAAACACTTCTTAGTTGTCTTACATTTATAGGAACTTACACATTAATTTAGCAGAAAAATAGTCCTGCATAACATGGAGAAGAAGATTCAATTGTCTTTGAACAAATTAGAAAATTGCTTTATAACTGAAATGTTGAAGTAAGAATGTTGGTCGAAGTGTATTTTGGTTTAAGCGTCTCCCTATGTGTGTATTTTTGCCCTATTTGGCCTTTTTATTAAAAAAAAATTGAATATAAAGCCGAAACTGCGCAATGCTATGATTTCAGGACTTTAGCAATTTATAATATCTTGAAAAACAGGGACGCTATTGAAAGAATCTACAATTCAAACAGGAAGTGAAACTAACGATGACGTAATGATGATTTACCTTTTAAATTCATATCACAGTAAACCAAAACTGCCAGATGGATCCAGCCAGTATTTGTTGCTTGCAGTGTTTTTTCCTTCGCTTGCTGTTATTTCCCGGCATGAACGTGCTGGTAACTCCGGAATCGAACCCAAGGGAGCTGGTAATGGTAAAAATGTTGAAAATTAAATATATGTAGGTGCACAAGTCGAAAGCCGAGATTGAAAAATACGAGAGAATTAGAATGAGGATCTAATTCCATTCACTCAAAGTCCGCCTTTGAATGTGTTAAATTAAATGCTCTGTCAAGCACCCTTCTCTTGGGAAGTGGGCCCCCCTCACTTTTAAGAGTAAATGTCAGTAAAAATCAAGGAAAATTCAAAAAACGTGGCCACGGTCAAAAAATCGATTGCGCTCATACTTTGTCAGTTTGAAGGCCTAGGTAAGTAACTGAAGGATATGAGGTTAGTTTTTTGAAATATTCCATATAACGGCAGAAAACCACGAAAAACGGTCACCCTACCGGAAGCTCGGATTTCACCTGGCGGAAACTCGAAATTTTACACTTTTCAGCTTCTCGCTACACAGACGTTTACATAGCTGTGAATCTTTCTTAAGTATAATTGAATACATTGATTCTTCCTTAGTCAAACCATGGGAATTATTTTTATCTCTGCTTATTTGTGAGCGAACTGAGACCCGATTAAGAAGACACACTTTTCTCATTTACGCGAAGGTGTAAAGTAATCCAAACTCAGCGACGAAAAAAGCTGACCGGTAGTTCTTCAAATCTTCTGATATTATAACCAAAGACAGTTCAGTCATTGATTTTTAGGTCTACGGTTTTAAATCTTTAGGATCTAGTAGCGCTTTTGCATGAACGCCGATCAAAATTCGATAAAATTCCAATTGAGCGCCTTTGAAATCTACAACTCTACATAACAAAGCACTACTGAATAAATTAACTCCTTGGCCAAAGTTTGTACATAAAACATAAGGGTTTTGCTTTTTTAGCGGTTTGAAGCGTTTTGAAAATATATATTAATGTTAAATATTGTCTATACAGGTAAAACAAACTATGAAACACCAAAATTACCACGAGCTGAAATTAAATTTGACAGGCTCGCTCCCTAATCTGCGTCACGCACGAGCGACTTAGCGACAATTAGAACAGTAACAAACAGATATTTACATCCGTTGATTTTAAATAAGTCGTATTTTTAAAATATCTTACTCAAAGATGTGCCAGGTTTCCCAGTTAACTTGCTGAAAAAAAAAGGAAACCTTAATAGTAATCCTAGCTCAATTAGAATTGATTTTATTTAGTATGAGAAGTTTTGTGCCGTCGAAAACCAATCGGAAGTAACTGTTTCCACGAAAAGCAAATATTGCATCGTTCTCTAAATAAACAAATCTACTTAACCATATAACCAGAGTATGTTGTTGGCGAAGTTAATAGACATACATAACAACGACGTCTTGCTCGTTCTTGAATATTGTCGATGGGATTTGCGGCGCAGACGAACGCACTTGCTAAGTAACTTCCAATGGCTAATTTCTACCCTTACTCAGCTTTCGTCACACTGCTCACGCTGTGTAACAAGGATATAAAACATCGCACGAAGTCCTAAAAAACTCTCCGGACTTGAACCAGAATTGATTTTAGCAAGATTGCGTGTTTTTAAAAGCCAACGAGTTTATTGGAGATGACTACCCGTACCGTCTCATCGTGTCACTTAGGCATAACCTGACACGATATCGATAGTTTCGACTCCTGATGGCCGAGAGCACTCGGATTTCTTTTTTTCCGAGTACGCCTGTGTCACTTACTGAATAATACATCATTCTCATTTATTCACCAGGCTTATAAATATTCCATCACATTTATTCCATTGCGCGTATGCCACACATGACATTCCAATCCTAGCAGTATGCAGGATGTTTGTCCCATGAAGCACTCGGATTTTTTTTCCTATTATGCCTGTGTCACTTACTGAGTAATACATCATGTTCAAAAGTATTAATTTTTGCACCATACAGGAAGTTGTTTCGGGTCATTCAGTAAGAGCTGTGAAAAGTAGCCGCACTGGAATAGGAATATATTTTTTTTTTTGCTGGCGTGGGCGTGGAACGGAACGACTTTTCCGATCCTCAAGGTGGAAAAGGAATATTCGACCGCCAAGCAGCGACTATTAAAGGAGACATTGGAAGATATGTAAACGAGGGCAATGATGTGACAACAGCAATTCAGCTCAAAACAGCCATAGAGTCTGGTCCAGGATCTTGTGCTAAGGCTAGTTACGTTACATTCAACCCGTCAAGCACTCGGCACGTCAAATGGGATGGTGTAAGCTTACTCAACAACTTCAAGTATGAGGAGAACGAAATTAATGTGGGTCCTGGAAAGTTGCTACCGTGGTCTCAGTTTGAAGGAGTTTTGCAGGTCCCGCCAACTCTTGAAGTGGTTGATCCCCCATCGCAGAAATTGAGTACTAAGCCATCTTTCAAGAAGGTGAGACACAGACATTGTGAACATTTCTCAGGTGCTCTTTCCTCATACACACTAAGCATCTTTCTGCATTTTACGCAAATTCCTTTAGAAAAAACATAGTCAAACTCCCGTCAAAACTCCGAAATTACTGAAAGGCGCGTATTTTTTTAACACAAAAGTCTGAAGTTTTGTCGACCCACAGAATAAAATAACAATCGAAAGTTGACTGCGCGATAAGAGGTGAGAAGAAGGGGGGAGGGGGGGGGAGTAGCATTGTGATTAGACTATCCTTTTTTTTGTTTATTGTTTATATCTTTCTCAAGTGGCTTTTTGCGAAACGAAATTGAAATGTTTTAAACAAAGTAAATTAACCCCTACTAACCGAATTCCAGGTGCGTACTGTAAGTTACAGACCGTGAAACGAGGTTAGTACGATATTCATTATGTCTCTGAGGTCAATCGGGCGCGTGGGAATGGAAACTAGTTAAAGTTTAGTGGGCTGCGCAAAATTGACCAATCACACCCCGCGTACAAAATGAGAGATACTGATAAAAAATAGGAACTCATTGTATACATGTGGGTAGTGCTGTGCACGCGCTGCGGACCTGTTTGTTTACGGACACCGGCACTCACTCACTCACTCACTCACATACCTGGCGACAAAGTGGGTAGGGCACTATACAGTGCACACACTAATATAAGCGCAATCCATAAAAAAATGAGAGGCATGAAATAAAGGTTGTTATAAAAAAATTGGATTGGACAACTGGATGAAGAGATAAGTAACGAAATGTCCTTCATCAACCTTACTTATTTCTAATCACAGAATCGACTGGGACTCTGCTAAATGCTTAACCTACAGTACAAACTATTTTCAACGACTGACTCTGGAAAGCTGGTTCACTAACTTAGAACAGACGCCTCTCAACAGATGTCAACAATTACCAGCACCTTACAAATGACTCATTTACGACGTGAACGAACCGACAAACAGACCGACAAACAACAGACGGATCGAAACCGACCAATGACTGTTAACAAACTCTACACGAATCTTCCAGCCAATCACATCACGGCTAAACAGACCAATCACGTTCAACAGACCAGACTTTATAACATCATCGACTGACAACTACTCCTCACTTGACTCTGAAGATGACTATCGCACAGATAGTCGAAACGTCAGTCACCAACAACAGTTCTTTTCAGAACTACACTCACCCGGACGATCACACTACACGAATTACTTATTTCTCTCCGTCGTTTAAACAAATGATTCTTTCATATAATCTCAAGTCATCAGAATGAATAGACTAAAAATAATTCATTGGAGACAGTTTCTGTTTGGTAGAACATCAAGTAGTTGGTTGCTTAACTGAGCCCACAGGGACGAGCTGTTTTGAAAGCTCAAAATATCTTCATGGATTGGAATAAATTTATTCCTTTTTTCCAGTGCGGGTGCCTTCCTCAGCTCCTTGCAGTGACCAGAAACAACTTCCGGGATGGTGCAAAGATTACCCGTCCTTCGCCTACCTAAACCTAACTTGGCACGATGAACCGGACAGATAGTCATATCCGATAAATTCGCCGGCTTTTGAAAACATCCACATCTTGCCAAAATTAATTCTACCTCCGTTTCAATTCCGGAAAATTTCAATGACTTTTTGTTATTTTTGATATCCCTGTTACACCGCGTAAGAGGCGTGACGGAAGTTAAAGAACTTGTGCGTTCGTCTGCGCCGCAAATCCCACCAACAATATTCAAGAACGAGCAAGACGTCGCTGTTCTATGAAGTTCCCCGACAATAAACTCTGGTTTTAGATGCAATGTTTCACAGATAAAGATAATTCGATTTATTTATTTAAAGAACGATGCAATTTTCGTGAGAACAGGTACTTCTGATTGGCTATCGACGGCATAAAGCTTCACATTCTTAATAAAATCAATTCTTATCGTTTCAGTTTGAATTGCTATTATGATATTTTCTTTTATTTTTACTTCAGCAAGTTAACTGGGGAACCTGGCACATCGTTGAGTAAGATATTTTAAAATAAGACTTATTGTAAATTAACAGAAGTAGATATCTGTTTGTTACTGTACTAATTGTAGCGAAGTCGCTCGTGCGTGACGCAGATTAGGGAGCGAGCCTGTCAAATTTAATTTCAGCTCGTGGTAATTTTGGTGTTTCATAGTTTTTTTTACCTGTGTAGACAATATTTAACATCAATATATATTTTTAAAAGGTTCAAACCGCTAAAAAAGTAAAACCCTCATGTTTTATGTACAAACTTTGGCCGAGGAGTTAATTTATTCAATAGTGCATTGTTATGTAGAGTTGTAGATTTCAAAGGCGCTCAATTGGAATTTTATCGAATTTTGATCGGCGTTCATGCAAAAGCGCTACTAGATCCTAAAGATTTAAAACCGTAGACCTAAAAATCAATGACTGAACTGTCTTTGGTTATAATATCAGAAGATTTGAAGAACTACCGGTCAGCTTTTTTCGTCGCTGAGTTTGGATTACTTTACACCTTCGCGTAAATGAGAAAAGTGTGTCTTCTTAATCGGGTCTCAGTTCGCTCACAAATAAGCAGAGATAAAAATAATTCCCATGGTTTGACTAAGGAAGAATCAATGTATTCAATTATACTTAAGAAAGATTCACAGCTATGTAAACGTCTGTGTAGCGAGAAGCTGAAAAGTGTAAAATTTCGAGTTTCCGCCAGGTGAAATCCGAGCTTCCGGTAGGGTGACCGTTTTTCGTGGTTTTCTGCCGTTATATGGAATATTTCAAAAAACTAACCTCATATCCTTCAGTTACTTACCTAGGCCTTCAAACTGACAAAGTATGAGCGAAATCGATTTTTTGACCGTGGCCACGATTTCTTTGATTTTTACTGACAATCACTCTTAAACCCTTCCTTTAGATCCACCAGCTTTTTTATCTTCTTTCCAGACCCTAAGCTTTTTGTATCATTTTAAAGAAGAAATAAATAAATAATTTGTTGTCACTATTTCACGCATACATCAAAGCTGTTTTGTGAAGAAGTTAATTAAAAGTTAAACTGAATAAAGGGGGTAAGTTTCTAAAGAAACTGGGGTGCTGCCTCGGTGGGAGAGTATAACAAGATAATTTTGTACTATCAACTGAGTTGATAACGTAAGTTGGCCGCCGTTAAGAGTTTCAAAGCTGACGTTTCGAGCGTCAATTTTCGTCCGAGCGAGTGGAAGAATTGTGGGTTGTGTGTTTATCTACAGAACATGGAGCTACGTTATTGGTGGGAAACTTCAAAGCAACTACAAAGAAAAGGGATAGAACTAATATCGTTCATTATTAGAATTGAGAGATGATAGAAAAATCAATACCGATGAGCGCGGGAGATCAGAAAACGCAGACTGTGGGCAAAGTCGAACGTATGACCAAAATATTGATAATTATCATCCAACATTATTGGCTGAATAATTACCTCTTCCGCTCAAACGGCGAATATAAAACCACGCCGGACCCGAGTGGAAATACTCGGGTGTTGCGTCCTTTGTGCGGTTGTTTAATTCACAGATCTGTTCTTTTCTGTTGAAATTAAAGCTCTGGCAGGTAATTTCCCTTTCACATAAGAAATCACAGATATGAGGAGCTGTTACCGTCATTCTCTTGAAAACGAAGCCTTTGAGAGTCATGTCACGAATGTTAATTTCCATCCTGCATTGATCCTTGGCGGTTACAAGGTTGGTGAACAAAACACAAGCAAGAAAATAACGAAATATCCACAGCATTTTTCCTGAAAAACAAAATCCATAGATAGGTGGGACGTCAATGAATTAACCTTTTTTCTCAAAGGCTGCTGATTAAGAACAGCAGTTAATAAGAACAACTGTTCGCCCCCTCCCGCTCCCTTCCATAATCCTCTTTTTTAAAAGACATTTCACAAAAAAAAAAAAAAAAAAAAAAAAAAAAACATTCAGCCTTCAAAATAAATTATTAAGAGAGTGACTGTAGGAGAAATTCTTTGATTTTAGTGGTGGTTCTCCGACAATTTATTTTTCCCGCTGTCTTTTTGTAGCAAATTTTGTAGCGCTTTTGTTGAGGGAAGCAGTGAACAACGAAATAAGAGCCAAATGGAAAATGTTTCTATCATTCCTTTATTCCATAGCCTTTAATTCGTGCGAATGAAACGCAACTCAGTGGATAACTTTATCTCTCGTTCAGCATTGGAAGAAACATGATTTGCTCGAGAAATGAGAGAGTTTTCGATACAAAGTTAAACCTTAGTTAAGGAATCCGTTTTGAGTGAGATGTTGTCTTTTGTATGAACTTGAAGTGTCGTTGACTGGTAGATTCCAATCACATTAATTTGCCATCAGTTGAGTTGGATTCTCATCGTATTCTTCAAGCGAAGGAAGGGCTAGTATACAAGTGTTACCATATTGGCTTCTGTGTGATTAATTTGAGGGACGATTTGGGTTAGTTTTGAATATTTACTAGGTCTCAAATGTTTTCAAAATGTCTATCTTATTAACTAATTTTTTTGGGGGGAATTTCGAAAACGATTTACATGAGAATTAACACACACACACAAAAAAAACAAACTTGTGGACAGCTACATACTGAATTACGAGTCTGCTTTCAAGTTAGTAAATAAAGCCTTTTGGTTTTGCAATGGCATTTCTTCAAGATAGAGAATTGCATGAGTATTGAGTTAAATCTCTCGGTGATAAAGTTTCTACTCGCAAATGATTTTATCAGAGGTGGTGTCGTTGGTACGAATATCGGCCTGAATTGCAAAATGAGAGAACCTCTTGGCAAGGCACATCTGTGAAAACATGGTAACTGGTAAAAATATGTCGCATGAAGCAGTTTTGAAAATAGTGGTCAAAGATATTATCGTCTCTGATTGCATTCGATTCCTCGGTAAACCTGTGGTTGTCAGGGCAAATTACCTGTTAGAGTATACCTAAAGACGATACTATCTATGTCAGGCTTGTAAATTCTTATTTATCTACATGTGTGTTAAGATAAGACGGATTGACGTGACGTTTCAGATTGGCGCCTATTTTTGAGACAAATACTTTTTAAAAGTAATAGGAGACTTTCAGTGAACTTCATAACCTCACCCAAACACCAGGGAGAAGTTTGAAAGTTAAGCAACCCCGAGACACATTCGAAGGTTTGTATAACTGGCTCCACAAATACCTCAAACTTCTTTTGTGTTTAGATGAACTTAATTTCAATCTTTTACAGTTCGAACTACTACTAGACCACTAAAGTTTACCCTTTAAACCCCAGATTAAAGTCAACGTTCTTATTCATTGCGCAGTCTATTTGTTTTTGTTGATACTTTCAAGGCTTTTATTGCGTTTTTGCAGTGTAGTACTTTAAATTGTTGTTTCTTTTTTAACTTTCTTCATCCAAAATTTTAAGGACTAAAAACACGAGTTAAAACTTTTTTGTCATTAGCTTATAAGACTAAATTTCATTTCCTTTGCGACGAATTGATCGCGCTACCCTTACAATTGATATTTGTATCATCCAGTGTGGTCATGAAAGTCTTAGAATTTTCTAGGCTCCTGGTGGTCCCTAATTGAAGATATGTTTTTGCTACACGAACCTGTTTCCGTTCGTCTCATTATAACCCCAAGTGTCAATCATGACCTAGCATTTTTCGTAATATTAAGTGACCACAAGACCACCCTTTAGTTATAAAAACTTTCACTGATTGTGTAGCGAAAAAAGCTCCTCAGTTGCGACTCATAGTCTTTATTCAAAAACTAATCTGCCCAACCTAAAAAGACTACAATACCAAATAACAAAGAAGATAATTAGCCTTACCAGGTGCTTTTAATAAATTGATTTCATTCCCACTGTCATGGCTCAATTGTAGATCACGTTTGTAAAGAACTCCTACTCGGTAGCCGAGAAACTAATCACTTATGTGGCAAATTATTCATAACAGTTTTTCAATGACTTTCATGTAAAAAATAATAAACTGAATATTTAGGACAACGCTCTTTAGTAGATTTATACAGTGGATAGCGTTGAAGGTGCGCTCTGATTGCCCACTCAAATTACGAATATCTTTTGCTATTAACCTCCGAGCATTTGCGCGCAGGATTTGCGTCAGATAATGTTGTAATCGTTGCAGGAATAAAATAGTTAAAATCAAGTTTTTTGTGCTATATTATTTAGCTGTTTTAGTGTATACTAAGATAACTATTCACATTTGGAAAGAGTGTTTAGACAAACTTTTCCAGGGTACCCACGTTATCTACATTACACGACAAGAGCAAGTTGCTTTAGTATATACTAAAACAACTTCTTATATCTGGATAGAATGTTTAGCCCAACCTTTCCAGGGTACCCACGAGAAATCTACATTACGCGACAAAGGCAAGTTGGCGACAGCGACATGTTTTCAGGGTAACCACTTACTTTTTAAATATTTTTGTTGCCTGTGTTAAATCTGTTGAAGGCCTAAATGTAATAACTGTCCTAAATTTCTTAACATTTGGTCCTAAATCTGCATTTAACCAAGTTGAGGTGCTAAAAGTTAGAGGGCAACAGATGGACTTCAATTATGCAAATTCACAACAGCAGATATATGTGAAAGGAAGTTAACTAAACGTTGAGATTGTTCCATTCAACAGCGTCACAAGCTATCAGTTATAAAGCATGTTGTCAAAACAATTTTCTAAAGAGCATTCAACGCCTACATTAGCCGAATGAAAATATAACAAAAAACAAAGACTGATAGAATTCAGGGCACATCGAACCTGTATCCAGATTCTGAGTTTAATTACTATGAATAAATAAATTACACCAACATCAGTGTTCTAACACTCAAAGCAATAAGAGACACGATGCAAACGTATCTTACAAACCTTGTGAAAAGGCTGAATCTGGAATTAGCGCAGAGAGTTCAAATAGAAGGGGACAAAGAAGACCAAAACACATGTTAAGAAGAGATCTCGTCGCTGGTGTGAGATATTTAGCCTTGCTTCTGATGCGACTTGTAAACAACTGAAATGTTGACTACAACCAATAGAATTCGAGCGATTCCAGCTGCTCCCAGTTTTCTGACGTACAAACGAGCATTCATTTCTAGGTTTATCACGTAAAGGTGAGGTGTTTTTATTGAGAATTTTACTTACTTTTTTTATTCCTAAAAGCGATCGTAAGTATTCTTTTACAAACTCTTACAATTTCGCTATGACTCTTATTTCACATGATGATTATTTCACAGCTGGAGCTTGGGCCGCCCGTGTTCAGCTGTGACATTTTAGCGTTAAAACAAACAAAATCGTTCACTTCCTATCTTCCTTTCTCTTCGTCGCTTATTTTCCTGGAAAATTGATGATACTACGAGTTAGAGTGCGAGGAAATAGTAACTAAGAATAAAGGAAGTGTAACTTATAAGTTTTCCCGTTGACAAGTTTGCAACTGCAGTGTTAATGAAAAAAATTTGGAATATATCAATTGTATATGCCAGTTTTGGAGTAAGGGAAGTTGCTTTTTAACGAAAAACGTGCCTTCGAAAAACCAATTGACATTACAGATGACTTGGCAAGAAGGAAAATCAGAAGATTTTCGTGAAATTCTGCGCTGTGGCAAAAGAAACAAAATGCCGTATGTGGGTTATGAAGGTGTTGAAAACCTACAAATATCATTAAAAACTGACACCAAAAAAACCCTTTCAAAGAGTGTTTTGGTATAAATTTTAATAAATTGTGAAATTGGGTTCCTGTTTACGTGTTAACTAAATAATTTAAAAAGAGAGGTTCGAAATAAACGCACTATGTCCGTGATTATTCAGCGTGGTTGAAGGCCTAATGTAGTAACTGTCCTAAATGTAATAAAGTCCTAAATGTACAAACGTTTGGTTTTAAATGTAATAAAGTCCTAAATGTAATAAGCCTCTGATGCAATCGTTTAACTGCGTTAGTGCATTGTTGTCATAGCGGACATCCACATTGAGATGTTAAAGTGACAGCTGTTGCACCAAAGAATCCTAAGACCAATATTCATGGCATATTGCAGGCTTGCTGATATTAATCAGCGTCTTTTTATTTGTTTAAGCATTGGCTACAAACCCTTATACTGATGTCCTTTTGGCAGACGTAAAAACAATTAGAAAGCTGACCAATAGCCACGATGCCCATGGCCACGCCATTAGTTTGTTTGTAGTAGTTACCGCCGAATGAAAAGCAATTGAGCGTGAGTACTAGTTCGGCCAAACGGAGTAATGTTTCAGAGCTAGGTTCCTTAACAGTGCGATGATCGAAAAAATGTTTGAGGGCCCGGGACCTTCGTCATCGGGAATGACAGTATAAAGAGATGTTATATCCATAGTGAAAATAATGTTGTTTTGGCCGAGGAAATAGAAGTCACGAAAAATTTCAGGTGCGTGTTGGCTTTCCTTAATGTAAGATGGTGAAAATAAAGTAAGATGCCTCGATAAAAAGTTATTCTAAATGCTGACAAAAACATAACAATCTGACAAGTAAATAAAGCTCTGCGTAAAATTGAAAGTGCCATCACCATGCCTTATATAACCGCTTTTGTGCCCTGATGAAAAAAAGAACGTTAACCAGCTTCTAGACGATTCATTCTGAAAACTGTCAGGATGATTTAATTGATCTCGTTTTAAAATATTTTCTGAATCAAACCCTCACCCCCTCCCAGTATGCACCAACACCTGAACACGGCCTGAGTCATTGCCACATTTGTGGGTTGGTTTCAATGCTGGAGGAAAGGTCGAATGCTTTTCAATTGACTGGGAATCGTGAAACCAAAATCAAAATATTCACTAATTGTGGATTCTGGTGCATGATATTAACCAAAGGACACAATACGAAGTAGAATCTTAAAAACATATTTTGAGGATAAATTTGCAACCGACTCCAATAGGCGCAACTTGAAATGCTTTCTACGTCATGCAAAAAGTGAAATCTGCGAAAACTCAATCGGCCCAAAGACCGGAAAACAAAGATACTGGGTTGGACTGGTTTGACGAAAATTGAAAATCGATTTTGGTTTAGAACTGATCAATAAAACAAAGTGACTGCCTAATGAACTTTCACAGTCAGTTGAAAACCAGTCTTAGATATGTCATTGTTAATATAATGTTACGATATGTAGATTAATTATTATGTGGATTTACCTCGCTAAAATAGCTAAAGGCTCGGGTCAGCGGACTTAACCGCGTATATAAATTATTTTACATAAGTGACCTGGCAGTTGGTGTTTTGTTGTAAATACACAGGAATATAAAGAACTGACTTCTCAACAGTTTCTCTTCAAAATACTTCCTATAGTCCTATCTCCCACAGGTTAGTTAATGACCAACTTCAAGCGACAAAATTTTCGAGCCTTTGCAATAAATATTTGGGTCGGCCATACAGCAAGGAGTTGCAATAATCAACCTTTGAAGTAAGAAAGGTATGTACAAGGGTTTTCGTTAACCATCTCACCAACAATGGTCAGATTACCGATGTTTGGTCCTGGATGATAACAAGAGGAAAAAACCAGCACCTCCGTTTTATAGAAGCAACGGTCTGCACTTTATAAAACTTTTGCTTTCGGCCACTGATCTCCAAGCTCCTCGAGTGTTCCTCAAAAGTCGCAAAAGGCTTATCAAAGCGGCACATTGAAGGAGTGGGCGGTCTACCGCTTCAGGAAACTCTCGTACCTATTTTTCGAGCTCGCGTGTAGGCAGTAGCTGGCCATAAAAACGACTCTTCCTTGTTTATAGGAAACACCTCATCCTATCGATGAATCACTGCAAAAGAAGAGTCTACAAGACGAAGTAAACTGGGACGGGAGGGAAGTCTGGTCATCCAACCCTCTCCCCTCCCCCCACATCCCCCAATCTCTTTCCCCAACTCTTCCGTTTTACTTATCGGCTCTCGTGCACTGCTTCTCAATTTCTTATTGTAAATTGAGATAAACACCTTTAAAACCAGAGAATCTTGATCGTTCAGTAAACCTTGGCTTCTTGTAGTAAATCTTCTCGTTTCAATCGCCTAATTTGAAAGTTCCAAAGTCCGCTTATGTGACTAAAGGTTAGAGCTGAGGAATGAGGACGAACTTGGACCGAATGTAGAAGTCGCCATATTGGATCGATCTGTAAGATCGACGAAGGCTTGGAGCTTAGCAATATTACGTCGTCGGTACTTGATCGGAATATTTATAGTTCTTGCTAGTTTAGCGTTCTTGTAGTTTATGTCAATTAGTCTTAGATTGTGTGCTCCCTTTATTTAACGTGTCAAATTTTATATTACATTTTTGCGTATTTTGAATTAAGCTAATTATCTTCCTTTAGTTCAGGTTTAGTTTGCGTCTGTTGAAGTTAAGTTCAGGTTTGGCTAAACTGCAGAATACCCTGCCACTCATTTACATGTCATTGAATAAGAATAGCGTCTCTTGTGTTATGCCTCGATCTTCAAAGCCTCCCGACACAGGTAAATGAGGTGGACCAAAGTGGCAGGGTATCCTGCAGTTACCTCATTTCAATACATTTGGAACAGAATTAAAGCTAAAAACACGAACAAAACTGAAACAGAACGAAAGGAAGGTTCATCCTTAATAATCAAAAGGAAGTGATAAACTTATTGTTCCGCGCGCCATGATTTATTTTTAAACTGCACAGAGTTCCTATCTATCAAAGCAGGAAAAGCTAGGAGAGCCTACACTGTTTTCTGTCAGATGGGCCGGGAAGGGGCTTATATGCGACAGTTTATGGTATGCGTTTTTCTAGTTTGGCTTAATTATGTCCAAACGAGTTCAATGTATGGGGCCACGAAAGAAAGAAATGACAAGGAAGCATCCAAACTAGTCGCGAGACACTTTTATCTCCCCAATCATTCTAAGCAGAATATAGCAGTCTGCAGTCTTTCCCTACATCTAGGGAATTAGTTCGGAAAGCTGCAAAACTCAAGAACAAAAATTTTTGTTTCAAGTCGGTACTCTTAATCCCTACGGTATCAAAGAGCGCCTTTCATTTAACTAATTTATTCTTGTTTTCTCGTCACCATATTCCCACCAATAGCGTAGCTCTATTTTCTTCATATAAAAACAGACACAACCCACAATTCCTCCACTCGCTTTGACGAAGGGCTGAAGCTCGAAACGTCAACTTTTAAACTCTTTACGGTGGCCAATTCACGTTATTAACTCAGTTACCAAATTACCCTGTTATAATCTCCCACCGACGCAACACTACAGTTTATTTAGAAACTTACCCCTTTATTTATCTGAAGAATTATCCGTTTTTAGAAATTAAATTGTAATTTTATTGTCTGAGGAGCTCCGTCCAGGCTTCAATTCACGTCATATTTCAGTACATGTGAAACTCTCATGGCAAGGTATTTATCATTTCTGCTGGAAATTGTCACCATGCAGCAACTGTCTCGATCCAATTGTTTTCATTTTGTGCCAGTGAATAATTAGCCGTATCTACAAGGATGAGTTTTTATATAGCAACTCACAACCATTTAGCGAATTTTACTTTGTACTTAATTGTACCCTTGTTGTTTTCCGCTGAAGTTAAGTTCAGTGAAAGACACACTTGTAATGATCGACTAATGTCTTATCAAAAGTGTGCGTGAATTATTCATTTAATATCTTCCGATTGCTCAATCAGAAGTCCAATCAGAAACTGAGTTGGAAATCCTCAAACAGTTCGCATCGCTTTTTGTAGCCGTCTTTAGGAATGTCCAGCTATACAAGGCTGTCACAGGAATAATTTGTTGTTCACTGTTTTCCATCACCTAAATATTCATGCATCATACAATTTTCAATTACCCTGCAAACACCTTTAGTCAAGGCTGGTTTCGAGTGCTGCGAAAAAACATCAAAGACGAGTTAAAATGATAAGTGAAGTTGTGGGATTCAGGAACTTTCCTGTAAGATACATGGTTATTTTTTCGTTCGTTTACAAATTAGCCTTGCTCTCAGTCGGTGTGACTTACTAATTTAGGTTCAACTAAGAAACGTGTAGAAAATACCGACAGCCAGATATCAATTTATTGAGTTTCACCAGAGTTTACCTTAAAATCTACACTATAGACCTACAATATAGGAAAGTGATTGCTCTTTTCTGTAACTCCTAGAAACAATTCTTGGGAACTTTTAGTCAATCCACCAGCAGCGAATGTTCTCAATATATTTCTATATATTATAAGCAGAATCGTTCTTTCTAACTACATGAAAATTACAGTGCTTTACTCCACTTTGAGTGAAAGAGCACGAGAGCCTCCGGAAAAGATATTCCAGATGTTAGCAGAAAAACAAAACTATAACAAGTGAATAAAGTTTTGCTTTGACTTGAATACAGTCAGTGCCATGCGCAGCAAAATTTAGAAGGCCAACGGGCAAAAAAATTGAAGAAACTGAGTCACACTGGCTGTGTCATTAGTGAAAATCGATTTTGGTTTCGAACTGATCAAGAAAAAAACGATTGACTGCATAATAGACCTTTACATGTATTCATTGACATTAGATACACAAGAATATGAAGAGCTGAGTTCACAACTGTTTCTCTACAAAATGATTTCTCAGTTATTATTTTACCAATCATCACTATAACTCCCCCCATGCCCGCTACTTAAAGTCTAAACATTCCTGGCATTTGCCTCTTCTTTATTCTATAAGCGAAAGCAATTTGTGGCTGACATTGTCCCCTGGATATTATAAACTATAATCTTGCCTCACCATAACATTGTATGCTTTTAACGCGCAAGTATTTGTGTGAAGAGAGACGTGGGATAATTTGTTGTTCACTGTTTTTTATCACCTACATATTCATTCATCATACAACTAAGAACGTACGAGCCATGTTCCTTCCATTCTCCCCCATCCCCCCCTCCCCCCCTCCCTCGTTTGCATGTGACCACGGGCCTTGCTCTAAGCTCTAAGCCTAAGAAAACATTACGCTGACAATATGGTTTCATCACCATAAAGTTTCCCCTGAACCTCTGGGAGTGAACCTCTGGGGGAACATCTGGGAGTGAACATCTGGGAGTGAACATCTGGGAGTGAACATCTGGGAGTGAACATCTGGGGGAACATCTGGGAGTGAACATCTGGGAGTGAACATCTGGGAGTGAACATCTGGGAGTGAACATCTGGGAGTGAACATCTGGGAGTGAACATCTGGGAGTGAACATCTGGGAGTGAACTTCTGGGAGTGAACATCTGGGAGTGAACATCTGGGAGTGAACATCTGGGAGTGAACATCTGGGAGTGAACACCTGGGAGTGAACCCATGGGAGTGAACCTCTGGGAGTGAGCCTCTGGAAGTGAATCTCAAGGAGTGAACCTCTGTGAGTGTTAGGCGCTAAAAAGCTATGTACATCATGCAGTAATTTCACTGAAATAGCTTCTCTATTAGTAATGAACGCCAGTGTTCTTTGGTATCTTATCTTTGCATGTAGATGTTGAGAAGCCACTATGCTTTGAAGTGCAACGGGTTTTTGCGTTGATCTTAGATTTTTTACAATAGATAAGCAACTTTGTCCACAGCCAAAAAATTTTTAATTGGTCTCACGCTCTAAACCTTGCTTAAAACGCTTAAAATAAAGACTTGTTTGAGTCCACTGAACTTGAGAGATGAATGCAGAACTGTATGAACAGTCAAAAACATCTGATTATTTGCTCCGGAAAGAGCCGGAAAAAGAACAAATATTACAGCTTTTGCTATCGAAAAATTTGTAAGGTCAGTAAAAATTCACAAACTCACCTGTTCTAGCAAATTTTGTTGGTGAATTTTAATTCTAACCTCAAATATAAACGCCTCTAGAACCACATGTTGCACTGTTTGTCTTACAGTAACACGACTTAATAACAAAATCTAAATAATGATCCAAAAAAGTTAAACTACCGAGTTTAAAAACAGACATCAATTAGCGCTTCAAAACAGAATTACCACTAGACGCTAAGAAAAGTGCTGCCATGCATTTCAATGGAGAAATGTTATGATCACTCTACCATGTCCAGCAGTATTATAACAACATTCATTTTGCTGATTTGATCCGTTGTTGAAAGAACCTCCCCCTCCCCCACAGGAAATATTGTTATTCGCACCTCCACTTCCCCCAGAGTACCCTCCACCTCCCCCAGGTAGCTCACTATCTAGACGATAACCACCCCCACCTCCAAACCCACCCCGATATGCTCCCCCCTCTCCCTTTCTCTTGGCTAGAAATCCTTTACCTCCCTTTCCCCCTCCCTTAGAAATATCTGTGTTTTCTCCATCACTGTAGAAGCCACCGCCACCGCCACCACCTAAAATCAAGAGATTTACAGTTGACATTAGCTACTGAGAAGATCATGGCTTTTAGTAATTCTCAAAAAAATTCAAATTTAAGCGACCAGTACCACCTCTTTGTTCGAAATATTGATGGATGGCAGTAGAATGCGAAAAAAAAGAAAAAGAAAAACAAAAACAAAAACAAAAAAATTCAGTATTTATAAATAGAAAATTCTTCACCTACCAGAATTCGGTTCATCAGTTTGTCCTCCATATCCGTTCATTCCTCCTGACAGGAATGGCGAGTTATACCCTGCATTCCCTGTTGTGTTTATGGACGCATCACATCCTGAATATTGTTCTGTCATATTTGCAACTCCTCCTCCACCTCCGGCTATGATTAAAGGCTTGTTCTCTCCTCTTACTACAAATGTACCTCCTCCGCCTGAGCCAGTTTTTTTGTTAGAATACGCTTTTTGCCCTCTTTGACCAACAAGTATACTAATGTTCTCACCTTTGGTCAACATAAAGTTTCCAATCATCCGCGCCCCTCTCCCTCCGTTGATGACACTGTCCTCACTGTACCCCCCTGAGGCTCCTATTGTTTCTATTCTGTATTCACCAGTGTGTGGCACAATCCACAGTTGAATACCGCTGGACACTGTAACTTGTCCGTCATGATCCTGACCTGTGTAGTGACTGCCAACTGAGTCTGGACCCTTTGTTCCTCTCTGACCAAGATTTGTAAAAACAGCTGTAAATCCTTCATAAAACACATACACAAAAAAATAAAAGTTATGATACTAGTGAGAAATTGTCATAGTTACTTTTGGCTCTGCCAACACAGTCAAAACTCGCTTAAAAGAACTGTTGTTTTGGTGGTTCAGGCTGATTTTGTTCTTATACATTGGGTGTTTTCTGCAAAACCAACCTGAATATGCTCTTAAGGTGTTCTTAAAATTGTTTTTAAAAATTAAATACTGCATAGACTACCAACAGATAAAATCAGCATGTAAGCACAACTTTTCCGTCAATTCATGGATGGAACTAACCTTAACTGCATCAATCAAGGCAATAATATTACATTGGGGGAGGGGTAGCAGTTCTGGTGATAAACGACTCGAAACTCAGCAAAAGTCAAACAAATTCAAAATGCACCAGCCCTCCCCCCCTTCCTCTTTCCATGTAACTATGGTCCCCAATCTTACAAGCAAACTGAGAGAGAAATGAGAGAGCAAAATGTCAGCATTCAGTTTCTTACATTTCCAGTCCAATTATCAGATCCATTTAAATCTGATAATCTTCCAAACCTTGTGGTGAGATCTTTACATCATTAGAGCCATCTGCTTTTCGCAAACAGCCAGTTTTCTCACACAATCTCTCCGAAAAAAGGTCTCATCATTTGTTGCGGCAAACGAACATCAAGGCTCGATGAAATACCAAGAAAATCGTGACCGGAGAAAAATGCCAACCAAATCCAGTAGATATATTACAGGGACATAACTTTAATCAATCTCGTAAACTGTAAGCGAATTAAAAAAGGGACTTATACAATAGATTGTATTCAATTAAACACGTGGCGACTTAACAGCGTAAATGAATCTAACATAATAAAGGAACTAATAAATGAACCAAATGCTACGGCAAACACAAAATATATATACAAATAAAGACGAAAGAGCTTGCTCGAAACGAGATAAACAACAAAAAAGCGAAAACAACTTACATATCAGTCCCTATACGCCGGTGGCTTGAAATCACACTTTATAAATTAACTTTAGATGAACACCGAACATGAACAGGCGATTAATGAAAGCGGGAGAGAAAAACTATTTAAAGGAATCAAATGGCACAAAGGCCAACTGTAACGCAAATGTCACGCAAGTTTGAAAGTCACGCATTTACATCATTACTTAACTCACTCCACGCCTCCTCAGTCCATTTAACAAATAGATTCCTTGAGAGATGAATACAGAACATCAGTGACACACTCGGCTGCGCCTCGTGTGCCAATTTTTTTGTTCTTACCACATTTTGACGTTCTCTGTGATCTATTACTGAACAGACGCACGTCAACTTGGAATCTATTTGTTTTATGTACTCAAGAATTAAAAAAGTTCTAATGATGACGTCATCTATACGTCTGTTCTCCAAGAGATCATAAGTGAGAACCAATCAGAATGCGTGCATAACTGAGCCTATTATATAATGGGTTATATTACATTGTATCTATTTTTAGGTATCCATCTTCCATACTTTGGGTCAACTGTATAGGGCTTGTTTCTTCTCCTTTGTGTTTTCAAGGCTTTCCTCAAATCCCTGTGGAATTTCTGGATCGTATCCCGGCCATCATCTGCCCCGACTTTTTCCTTGGTGGTCCTTCTCCTCAGTAATATGTTGTGTCTTTCCTTGAATCTCTGGAGCCAGTTGCTGCTTCCTTTAAATTTTGCAGCTTCTTCTGCGCCATAGCTTGCTTCGATTTTCGATTTTATTTTTTTTTTGAACCAAGGTTTGGACACTTTGCTTCCTGCTGATGTCCGTAGTTTAAACTCGGCGAGTAAAAGATTGGAAGTCAGAGGATATTTATCAGTGCGTTGGGATCTGTTCCTGGCGATACTCCTTTGTCTCATTGGCCTTGCACCACCTGTGTTCTTCTTTGTCTTGTTCAGAGTCAGTTCTGCAAGAAGTTTGCTTCTGTTTTTTTCCCACTTAATCACCAGCGATCTGTTGACTCCTTGTTGCTTTGCAACTGTGTTTTACCCATTAGTTGATGACTTAAGTGAATCCAAAAGATCAGTGTTTTCTTTATGAAATCAACGGTGTATGACTTTTGCTCGTTACTTTCCCTTCGATTGTTGCTTCGCCTTTGAGTTTGACCTTGCGCAACACCGGCCGATTCATGTGGCACATCCTCAAGCTGTTGACTCTCAGCCATTCTCTGCATGTTTGTTTCACCTGAGTGGTTGTTGATGTTTACAAAAATAGTCAATGTATTTCTAGGTGCTGAGCTGATGCTGTTCGAGTTCTGTGCGGCAGAGGCCGGGTGCTTGAATTGTACATGGCTGTCCAGACATGGCTGACCTTTGAACGACCTGTCGCAGTGTTGCATTTAACAGTAATGTGGCCCATAATACCTTGTTCGTCTATTGTCTTAGAGACAATGACTGTTTTGCTGTACAGCGGTTTTCTGTTCTCTTGAAAATTGTCTAGAAGTCATTTCGGGTGAGGGAAAGTGAAGCTTCCATCTTGAATTTCTCTTGGGAAAAGTCGGCTTTCTGCACAAATCAAACTATAAAATGGCAGATGAATACGAATTCTATGTTCAGGAAAACTTGCGTGGGTACCACGCTTATTTTGTATATGCAACGGTGTATATTGGATAAGTTATGAACTGCGAGCAGGTAGATTCAGGCCATGCTTCTTTTAACAGTCTTCCTTCGATTTAACACCGAAGTAGGTGTGATAGGTGTAGTTTGGTGTAGTAAGTGTAGTTAGTGAATGCTGGTGTAGTAGGTGTAGTTTGGTATGGTTTCGTGTAGTAGATTTAATTACGCGTTGCTTGGTGTAGTAAGTGAAGTTTGATGTAGTAGGTACAGTTCGGTGTAGTTTGGTGTAATTCGGTGTAGTTTGTTGTAGTAGATGTATTTTGCTGTAGAAAGTGTAATTGGTGTAATAGGTTTTTTCGGGTTTAGTAGGTGTTTTTTGGTGTTGTGGGTGTTGTAAGTATAGTTTCGTGTATTTGGTTTAGTAGGTGTCGCAAAACCCTACTTAGTTGCGCCAAACTCTCCTCAGTTTTCGCCAAAGACTCCTTTGTTGCGGCCAAACTTTCCTTAAGTGGCAAAGAACACTGCTAACTTGTCGCAAAACCCTCCTTAATTATCGCCAAACTCTGCTCAGTTGTTACCAAACCCTTCTTAGGTGTCGCCAAACCCTCTTTACCTGTCGCCAAACTCTCCATAGTCATCGCCAAAACCTCCTTAGCTGCCGCAATTAGTTGTCGCAAAACACTCCTTAGTTGTCGCCAAACTCTTTTTAGTTGTTGCAATATACTCTTTAGTTGTGGCAAACCACTTCTTAGTTTTAGCAAAACCCTCCTTAGTTGCCACCAAATTCTTCTTACTTGTCGCTAAACTCATTACACTCCCATCCCCCGACCGAGTAAATGTATATCATTTTTTATTTTAAAAAATTTACCTTCCGAAGATAAATTTAAAGATTTACCTTCCAAATGCATATTACAGTAAACCAGAATTCCCTTCCCAGTGCCAGATGGATCCAGCCAGTATTTGTTGCTCGCGGTGTCTTTCCCTTCGTTTGCTTTTATCTCTTGACATGAACGTGCTGGTAACTCTGGAATCGAACCCAAGGGAGCTGGTAAGGGTAAAAATGTTGAAATTAAATATATGTAGGTGCACTAGTCGGAAGCCGAGAGTGAAAAACACAAGAGAATTAGAATGAGGATCTAATCCCATTCAATTAAATTCCACCTTTGAATGTGTTAAATTAAATGCTCTGTCAAGCACCCTTCTCTTGGGAAGTGGGCCCCCCTCACTTTTAAACCCTTCCTTTAGATCTACCAGCTTTTTTTTCTTCTTTCAAGACCCTAAGCTTTTTGTATCATTTTAAAGAAGAAATTGAAATAAATAATTTGTTGTCACTATTTCACACATGTATCAAAGCTGTTTTGTGAAGAAGTTAACTAAAAGTTGAATTGAATAAAGGGGGTAAGTTTCTAAAGAAAGTGTGGTGCTACGTCGGTGGGAGAGTATAATAAGGTTATTTGGTGCTATCAACTGAGTTGATACGTCAAAGTGAATGGAAGAATTGTGGGTTTTGTGTTTATCTGCAGAGGATGGAGCTACGTTATTGGTGGGAAACGACAAAGCAACTACAAAGAAAAGGGATAAAACTGATGTCGTTCATTATTAGAATTGAGAAATGGTAGAAAAATCGATACCGATGAACGTGGGAGATCAGAAAACGCGGACTGTAAGCAAAGTGGAACGTATGACCAAAATATTGATAATTATTATCCAACATTATTGGCTGAATAGTTACCTCTTCCGCTCAAACGGCGAATATAAAACCATGCTGGATCCGAGCGGAAATTCTCGGGCCTTGCGTCCTTTGTGCGGTTGTTCAACTCACAGATCTGTTCTTTTCTGTTGAAATTGTAGCTCTGGCATGTAATTTCCCTTTTACATAAGAAATCACAGATATGAGGAGCTGCTACTGTCATTCTCTTGAAAACAAAATCTTTAAGAGCCATGCCACGAATATTAATTTCTATCCTGCATTGATCCCCAGCGGTTACAAGGTTGGTGAACGAAACACAGGCAAGAAAATAACGAAATATCCACAGCATTTTTCCTGAAAAACATAATTCATAGATAGGTATTACAGAATCAATGAATTAACCTTTTTCTCAAAGGCTGACTATGAACAGCAGATAATAAGAATAACTGTACCCCCCTCCCGCTCCCTTATGTAACTCTCTTTTTTTAAAGACATTTCACAAAAAAAGGAAAACATTCAGCCTTCA